TGAACGACCAAAAAATTAAGCCAGGAAAGGAAAAGGAGGGTCACTTTGGTAGGAAATTTTATGTACTTACTGCTGGTTTTTTATGTATTTTCTTCGGAAGATTAACCGTTGAGGAGATATTTCCAAAAAACTGATCGTGGATTTTCTCAATTTTGAAAAATTAAAAATGGCGGCGCCCTGATCACCAGCCAATTTTCCTGAAGTTATTATGGGCATTTTCGGACTTCTATATCACCTAGGAATCGAAAAAAATTGGTTTGGTTCAACGGACAAACCAAAACCCGAAATTTGTTGTGCTGTGATAATCGATTCCGGACAAAATAGTTTTACTTTAGAGGTACCAAAAAGTGATGACTAACAAGTCAAAAACTTCATATATTCACTACGATGTCTGTAAAAATTTCAAGTGGCCTGTTCATCTTCGGAAAATAAAATAGGAACGGAAATGTTGAAACGCCATAGTGGAGATATGCGGTTTCGCACTGTTGCCATCGATTACAAAGGCCAAAGCCCAGTGCTGCCATTTTTTGAGGATCGTCAAAGCACCATTAGCGATGTCATCAATAACATTTTCCCAAACTGGTAACACTATTTTTCCTCCATTTAAAAAATCTATGTTGCATTATTGATTGTAAAAGCGTCAGCTTGCTTCGATGGAAATCTATTGTTTCACCTGCATTTAAATTGAAAAAGTCCAGAGTACTGCCGCTGGCAACGCCGGCATGGTGAAAAATCTTGCTGCGCAGCTGGGGAGCCAATTGGCGGGAATTCTCGAAATTTTTCGCGATACAACCACTTTGGAAATAGCTTTTTAGTTGCAAGATCTGGCAACCGCGCCGGCGGGCTAAATCGGGCCGTATGCTCAATGCACTCACCGAGCCGCTCCTGAAATATTTTCAACATAAAATATCGGACATTTTAAAAACCACTCGCCAGGTAAAAACGCAAGTTCAGTCTGGCAGCTGTCATCCGTTTAGGCGGCGTTTTACAGTACTTACAATGCTGCCGTGAAAACGAAGAGAGCAGTAAGTGCAAACATGAAGTTTTGAGAAAACGAGCTCAGAAGCGTCTGAATGGAAAATTATATTGAAAGAGGCCTCCGTTCTTTGACAATTGCTACTAATCATCCGAAAGACTGCTAGAAAACGTTTAGATGATTAGCAATCCACCGATTTTAGAATCTATCAATCAGGATCATCCGATCACGATTCGACAACTGCCCCGCCACCGACCGAGGACGTTTTAGACTGATTCAGTGATTACGCCTTTCCATATCCGATACATTCGATGGCCCCATATCCAGAACAATTGGACTATTCTGATATCAATTGCTTTGCCACTTTTAAGGACAGCACAATTTTATGGTGACACAATTTTGTAATGATGGGTACTAGATTATTCTATTGCGAACCTTTTATCGGACCAAAAATTAGCTGATTGTCGGCCAGCGAAGAAGGGTTTAGGTAGTCAATTATTTGTCTTGATGGCTAGTTCTAAGATACCGGTCAATCCTCAAGTTGCATTCCATCATCGTCCAGTTTTATCAAACAGACAATTCCATGGGTGAGAAGAAACCGCAGAAACCATTCTTATTCAAGAAAGAATGAGCAAATATATGAAAGAAGACCCAATAGAAATACACAAGGACAAGATGACAAGATGGGAGATAGAATGGTCAAATCCACCAAACAAGTGGACAAAAAGAGTCATACCAGAACTACACAAATGGCTAAACAGAAGACACGGCCAACCAGATTTTTATCTTACGCAATTTCTCTCTAGTCACGGCGCATATGCCTCTTACTTACATAGATTCAAGAAACGAAAAGACCCATATTGTCCATATTGTATAAAAGACGGAATTGAAATAAAAGACACGCCTGAACACACATATTTCACTTGTAACAACGTAAGACAAAAGGAAGAAGAACTGGAAAAAACACTAAACATACCAACTCTAACTCCAGATAATCTAATACCAACCATGCTAGATTCTCGCAAAAAATGGACACTAATACATGCATACGTCAAGAACACACTACAGGGAAAACAACATGCACTTAATCAAGAAAAGGATGACGATAGTTGCCAACCCTCCTCCTCACCCGAAGACAGGCCACCCCAAGGCAATTCCGGGACAAACAAAAACAACTAAAGCGAAAAGAAGACAGAGGATCTTCGAGAAACCAATTAGAACTTAAGTAACTAGACAATAAGCTTCCATGGGACAGGGGGGAATAATCAAAAAATTGTAAATAGGATCTTTAAAAACTAATAATATGTAAACTTAGCCCTTCAGGTGATACCCTGTCACGTATCATTCTACTCTGTCATTTAACAAATAAAATAATTGTTTGGAAAAAAAAAAAAAAAAAAAAATTTATGGTGACACAATTTTGTAATGATGGGTACTAGATTATTCTATTGCGAACCTTTTATCGGACCAAAAATTAGCTGATTGTCGGCCAGCGAAGAAGGGTTTAGGTAGTCAATTATTTGTCTTGATGGCTAGTTCTAAGATACCGGTCAATCCTCAAGTTGCATTCCATCATCGTCCAGTTTTATCAAACAGACAATTACAGAAGTCTAATCGCCGACCTGCAGTCTGCAGTGGCATTCGAGGCCAATAAACGATTTTTTTAATACATATAAATTTGTATGAATTAATTATCTTCAGAAATACAAACCCTCTTACATGCGATGAACCTAATATTGCCACCAAAATTCTGAAACTCTTTACCTCTCTTAATTTAAAAATCTAAATTTTCGTTTATACTCCTATATATATTTTCAAAATTACCTGTAAAGACGTTAATAGCCTGAGTCGCTGAATGTCTCAAAATTATAATAACTAACTTAATTTGACAAAAACTTCCTGAAATTCTCAATGTGCATTGTGTATCATGCATCCATTCATAATTGAGAAATAATAAGCTGTTAGAGGAAAATTAGCAACGTTGCAAAGCGATTAAGTTCATTTGGCTCTTACCGTGCTAAATTATTTTTCCTTCCTTTTTGAACAATTTAAAACTGCACGTGTAAAATGAATTAATTAAACATTGCATCCGAACCTTTAGCACTCAGTGCAAAGCCTTGAGATTAATTTTACTCATGTGCCCTTGATGATAAACATTATACTCGATAAAAAAAGGGGAGATCTCAAAAAATGTGAATACTTTTCACTGGCATACACCATACACCAAATTACACCTGTTTATTCAATCGCTCTCGCTCGCTTCCGCTCAAAAAGCTCAAAGCAGATGAAGCAACTATTTTAACTCCGAAGTTGTGTTGTGTTGCGTCGTTTCATTTGAAGGCGCACTTATATCTGGGAAGTATTCATTCGTTGCTCGGACGTAGATCATCAAAGTGCTCTTTCACTGTTTGGTAGGCGAGAGAGGATAACAAAAAGCAGCTTGCGCCCACTTTTGGTCATCATTCAGCTAAATCAGCCTAACTACTTCAAACGTTGCCTAATTTCTTTATACGTGTTAATTTTTTTTACAAAAAAACAAAACAAAATCATGTTTTTGGGATGATTTTGAATTAACATTATCTACACTGTATGCATGAATTGATATGCTTATACTCTCAATAATTTAGGCCGTAAATTCTATGTATGTATTCGTATGCACTTTAATAAATTACCGGTGGATATGCCGCAAGAAAATCATAATATGAATTTAAAAATAAGCTAAAAATATACTGGTAGCAGAATGCCCCTATGAATTCGGTGACACGTGAAATCTGTCGTGATGGTAATTCTAACATATTAATTAAATCTTTGTAATAATTGGATTGCATTTTGCAAAAAGGAACCAAGAGCATTGCAATGTTGCAAAGATTGTGCAACTTCATCCTTTGCAATAAAATCACTGAAATGAGCAAAAATATGAAACTAATATGGTAACTGTTGTCTTAAATTTCCAGTTTTTGGGGTGTAAAATAGAAACTGTTTACAGATGATCAGGTTTTTCTTCCAAGACGAAAGAAGTCGCACAATCTTAGCGACATTGCAATGCTCTTGGTTCCTTTTTGCAAAATGCAATCCAATTCTTGGTTGACGCCTTGTGAGCAGAGCTGGAAAGTAAAATTTCGAAAGGCTCGAATAAATTTCATAAAATTTGAAATTTCTTAATTTTCATAGGAATTAGTAATTAAACCTTTGGCAGTCCGGAAAAAGTTTCAGATGGTCTTCCTGTTGATACGGCAGTACTTTTGCTACCGTACTGAGGTGCTGTACACGAAATTTGCCATCTCTACCGGTGAGCTATAGGCAAATTTAATCTCAATAAATACATTATCTTATCTTCCATGACATGCCGATCGACTTTTTATTTTCTCAGGTTGACAATGAGTGACCTTAAGACAATCAACTATTGATAGGCGAGGAGGGGAACTATTGTGAAAACTTTAGTCGCCACGTGATATTGTGACATGCACATCTGGTCTATATCCCTGACGGAAACGCCTTAAGCCACGCGATCTTGACAAGTAATTATCCGGACACCTCATCAGCGTGACTCATCCCTCAAATCTGGCACATTTTCCGTCCCGAAAGAAACTCTTAATTGGCCAAGGTGCTCACATCAAAGCGGCAAAAAATATTCCCCGAATATCTCGGTGGATGAACTCGATTGCCAAGACTCGCATTAGCTTCAATGCTAGATTTCTCCTCGATGTCGCCGCGCTCACCCCGAAACCAATCACAACCCGACCAGCATAATATTCCCGAATTAAATCGCACCATCTGGCAAGACTGCTCCGGGCTAATACCTGCGAGTTCTCTCTTAACACGGAGCATATTTGAGTGACTGAAACATCAAATGGAGGCATATCTTAGTGCGACGTTGCAAAATTTTAAGCCTGACACCTTAATCTCACACGCGAGGAATAGGGGTTCGTGCACGGTTCGGCACAAATTTCGAATACCGAACTTGTGAGTTGCACGCTGCGTACCAAGTAAGTTGATGGACATGGGGTTGGACCGACCGCAAGAAAGGATTTGAAGACCCGTCATGTTCTGAGATAGTCACAATACTCTTAGAAACAGCAGTATGTTTCAGTTGGTGGGTGCGGTTGTTGTAAAATTCACCAAAGTGCGCGGTTCCGAGGTGCGGCGCATGATCTTCGGACCGGTTTGCGACGTTCTCGCGCGAGTTGACCCTGACCTGACATGAGAGTATAGTTCCCTGGACCAACATTCCGGATCCATGATTTACAAGCGGTCGAAAATCTCGAAGAAGGACCCTCAAGCTGTCTTCGTCCTCATACCGCAGGAGCGCGATCCTTACTATGTCTTTATCAACTCCGGGGTCAAACCGCATTTTTGCCAGCGTCTCAGCACACTTGAGGTGAGCTCACCTGGACCGAGTTTAACGGAAGGAAATTTTATGAAATTTTTTGAGACTTTTGGGGATGCTTTCAGGAGACCAAGAAACGTTAAGGCCTTGTCTCCACGAGCCGTTTCACGAGATTTGTCCCAGGGAAAAATCCCACTTGCGAAGTTGGGAAAAATATTGAGTTAATCAATATTTTTCCCAGTACCATGTATGGTACTTGTACCCCTAGGACCCACTGAGAGAAGAAGAAGAAGTGAAAACGAATTGTGGGATGTTTTATTCATTACTACATTGTTAATGTTTGGTTAGTTAAAATAATGTGTCTAATTGTCAATTGAGTGCATTTATTATTATAATACCGGTGTAATACTCGACTTTAACTACTTTATCTTCCCGCGCAAACTAGTCGCAGGACTGTATGAGCCCCGTCCCGTGGGGACGGTAACTGGGAAAAATCCCAGAAGTTTCATTCCTGCGATTCGAACTTGGGACAAATCCCATGAAAACGTCCCGTGGAGACAAGGCCTTAGAAACAGTGACTCTAGATAAAATATCTGGAAGATATTTATTTAATAAGATTTTATCTGGAAGATAAAATAAGATAATGTCTTTATTGTGATTAAATTTGCATTTAGCTCACAGGCAGGGATGGAAAATTTCATCAAGTTTATTCGCGTGAGATTTCACGAAATTTCAGTCATAAACTTCTTAGGATGCATTCAGGAGACCAAGGAATGCCTAGAAATAGTGATTCTAGATTTGATATTTTTCACCCCAAGCCTAAAACATTCCCGACTTGCAAATGTTTTCATTTAGTTTGAGAGTTAGGTTAGGGCTAAATTCCTTCTCGAACTCTTCTTTGTGCCGGTTCCATGTATAGCACCTCAGTAGGGTAGTATAGCACTGCAAAATGAAGGCTACCTAAAACGCTTCTGGATTTCCAAAGGTTTACTTAATAATTAAAAAAAAAAAACAACAAATTTAAAATTGTATGCGATTTATTCGAGGTTTTTTAAATTGCTTGAAATTTAATGTGAAATTTCACTTTCAATCCCTGACCGAGTTGTATCAAATCTGAACCGAGGAGGGCAAAGAGGTTTGAAGTTTCATTCTTCCATGAGAATCCTTTAAATCTCCGAGCATTAGATATGTGTACACAAAATTTGACGAAGATAAATCGATGGTAATAAAACGGCAGATGACGTCACTAGGCGGTGCATTTTCTTACTTTAAAATCTATTTTTATACTATTTCCCATATAAGAAAAAAATTGTAAAAAATACTCTGAAATCAGCCCTTTAAAAGCGCTTTCAGATGAAGCAATGAAAAATTGCATGCAAATTCTCCTTTGTGGTAGTGCCACAACTTAATTTGAGGTAGTATCGCAATTAATTAGGAAATGTTCATGATACAACAACCCCGCGCTTTTTCTTTCCCATAATGGCGTGGGCCTCACCAACGCGAAACGGCAACATGGAATATAATTTTCAGCCTGCATTTCACGCAGTGATAACCACACGAGTAACCAAGCCAAGAGATGTATGCTGAAATTCCTTCAGGTTCATGTTCATTGTTCTGAACCCGCACTAATAAATGGTGAAGCAGGATGACTTTAACCTCTTTCGGTCGCTGGCTCCGTCACTTACTCTCGCGGATCGTCGCTCCTCTGACGAGGGGGCGCATCTTGACTTCCACATGAGCCCCAGAAAGCATAGAAGTAAGCGGGGAACAGGGCTCACCTGAAAATCGAGATAAGCTCTTACGTCAGTGGACCGACGAGATAAGAGAGGGAGGGGTGGCGAGAGAAAGCGAAAATCTTTCTGTGCCTGTCCCGGCGAAAGAAATATTAGGCCATTTACCGCAAATATACAGTCTATTTGTCGCGCGAATTTTCCTCGGCCTTGTAACAATTGAATTAGAGGCAACGACTGCTGTAGGTAAATTGCCTCATTATTCTTGCTTGACGATTAGAATGAACGCCCTATTGCAAGATCGCGAAACGGATATTACGGTTGATTTTTACGTGGCGCCGGCGCTAGCGACGAGAGTTTGCTACCTACTCCTTCCTAGCGGCGGTATTGGTTCGTGCTGAAGTTCGAAGTGGACGTGCGCCTTCAAAATTTGACGAAGCAACACAGCGCAGCCCCGATGCTAGAATAGTTTCTGCAACTGTTGTATTACTGTCCAACACAGTGGCGTGGTTTTTTTTTGTAAAAAATAACAAATATGAGGAAATTAGGCAACGCCTTATGTTTTTAGGTCGATTTTAATCAACGATGTCCAAGAACGGAGGTAAACTGCTCTCTATGATCGATTCTTGTCCATTGAACAATGGAAAAATTAAGATGAGAAGGCTGAGTAACGAATAAATACTTCCCAAGTATAAGTGCGCCTTCAAATGAAACGACGCAACACAACACAACTTCGGAGTTAAAATAATTGCTTCATCTCCTTTGTGCTTTTTGAGCGGAGGATGAGTTGAACAGACTGGTGAGAGTCATCACATTACGGCGGTGTAAGTCGGCAATCACATAACTCAGTTTGCGACGTCGCAGACTTCCTGTCACATTTTATTTTTTAAACGGAAAACTACTCAATGGCAATTCTTTAAAACTCCCGTGATTTCTTCTCTGTGCGAAGAAAATTCTGCAAAAACTTCAAGGAATGATGTCAGTTTGCTCTCCTTTAAAAAAATACCACAGAGGCAGAGATTTTCAGACACCGCAAACGAGTAATGTGATTGCCGACTTACATCGTCGATTATCAATTCAACGAATTTGGATAAAAACAGCTTTGACAATATTGAACATGGTATATTATCCTTCAATTTTTTTTTTTTTTTTTTTTTTTTTTTTTTTTTTTACAAGAAAAGTCATCATCATAACAAAACGTATAAAGAATAAACCATTTACTTTTCTTATGAGAAGTACTTTTCTACGGACAAAAGAACGTATCTTATTTCGAAGGTTGCAAAATTGACTCAAACCATTCAATTTTTTTACGAAAATCAACCTGCACAACTTTCGTCGAAAATTCGTCTAATTTTTGTATGACATTAGAAGGAAAACGAGTGAAATTTTCGGTCAGAGATTCTCTTGGTAAAAATGCAATTTGCGCTAAAAAAATCCGTCGACATTGAAATGTAGTTACGTTCTTTCGTGAAAGAAGCAACGCATTGCGGCACTTCCCTTTCACTTCTCGTTGTGATCCGGTGAATTACTGGCCACTAAATTCCTCTCAGAAATTAGTGCACTGATTTGTTCAGAAAAGTTGTGAATCAAAATCCCACTCGATCTCGAAGCGCAGCTCCTGGCGCAAGCCCAAATAGTGTTGCCGAACTCACCGGCTAAAAACGATTAACTTAGGCATGAACCTATACTTTTAGTGGTTAATGGCAACGCCGCGTCGTCTTGCCGAATACACGAGGCTCCTCTCTGATGACTGAATAAACTTCCGAAATTATGAGATCACGGCATCAGAATGTCGGGGTATCCGATGAGTCTTGTTTCCGCGTCTACCAGTGGCGTGGCGTGCTTTTCGATATATCGATTGTTATGCCATTTAAACCTATGCTAAAGAATCGATTATTAAGGTGTTCGCTGCGAACACCCTGTCTATCGATCCTTTTCCATTGGTTTAAATGGCATAACAATCGATATATCGCAAAGCACGCCACGCCACTGGCGTCCACGTGGAGACGCATGATGCGGTCGGAGACAAAATATTTCATCGGGCCCGGGATAAAAGCTTCCTGAGAACACACATTATGCGGTCAAATTTAGGCCTTCGAAATGAGTAATTGGCGGCTCTGTTAGTTCTCGTATTGGGTAGTGGTGTAAGCGCGGACTATTCATTTCTAACCTCAAAGAACTGAATCAGACACAAGGACTCGCACTGCTGTGTTCCCTCTTGTGTGAAAATTATGCTCGCGAGTCGGCGAACAGATTCGCCTAATGCAAGGGCGGAAATACAGGGAGCGGGGGTAGGGGGGCTCGGCCCCTCTCAAGAAATTTGAAGGATTTTGTTACGTAAATGCGTAACGTATCGCACGTACGCGCACGTATGCGCATCGTGGGAAGTATAAATGAATCAGTGAGAACGAAAAAAGTCTAAAAATTGCAAGGACAAATATCATAATTTTCTTCAAAATTAAATCTTTTCTGAAAGGAAATTTGGCAACATTTGAATGTTCATATGACGTTCTTCCTTAGCACGGCAGTATTGTCATGCTGCTTTTGATCAAATCAAATTGCGTTGAATTGATTGTGTGATGACTCACACCAGTTCAACTCATGCTCTGCTCAAAAAGCGCAAAGTGGATGAAGCAACTATTTTAACTCCGAAGTTGTGTTGTGTTGCGTCGTTTCATTTGAAGGCGCACTTATACTTGAAAATATTTATTCGTTGCTCAGACTTCTTATCTTATTATTTTAGTCAAGAAACGATCATTGCAAAGCAGTTTACCTTCATTCTTGGACGTCATTGATTAAAATCTGCGTAACTACATCAGACGATGCCTAATTTCCTCATATTTGTTGTTTTTGCAAATAAACTAAGCAGAATAAAATTCTGCCTTGAAATTTTGTGATAAAATGTGCAACACTCCAAAGAATAGTCTCTAATGTTTTTATGAGGTTATGATGCTGATATCTCCTGTATAACAATACAACACCATTGAGAGAAATTAGAAAATTTACACCATTGACAATTTAATTGGACAACTGTTTAATCTCGTCAAGCTGATTTTGATCAAATTCATTGAATTGATCGTGTAATTCATGCCGTGGTGAGAAAGTTACTCTCGAGAATCGTCTTTATTTCGCCTCTCGACTAATCTGCGAACTGGTTGTTTAAATTGATAGACAAAGCTATAGACAACGAAGATATAAGGAGTATGGAGCGATCCTACTGGCTGAAATGAGCGTTCTTCTATGTAGACTAAGGGAGATAATGATGGACTAACTATGGGTTTCTTGTGGGCTATCGGTAGTTTCTCTATTATCGACTTCCTT